GCAGGCTCCGCACGGCTGGGAGTCAACAAGATAAGGGTGGTCGACGCCTGCCTTCCGCGGTGGCGACGCCGCCCTTAACACGTGCTGGCGGCCCAAGTTTTCCAAGGCGAGCGAAACCGAGTGCACCCCATAGAGAGCGCGTTCCCAAGCAAACTTGAAGGCTTGCGCTTGATCACATCGCAAGGCGGCCCTGTGGGTAGACAGAGTGTAGACAGGCGTGTCCACAGGAGCATCTCTACGGGAGCATCTCTTCCTGGCGTTCTGTGAGTTGGGAAATTGTGCGGCCCGGCGTCCATAGCTCTCTGCTTCTCGGATCGGCATTTGTGCTCTGCAGAGTCAAGCAAAGGAGTTCGCTCGCCTGGTGCATGCAGTAGGCTTTCCAGACGCGTGCACGCGTGCGGTCGCTGCCAGTAGTTGCGCAAAGGCGCACTGGGGTCGGCTGTGTCGGCACTCTTCTTTCCAAATAAAGGCGCAACAAAGAATGGTTTCGAACAGCATTTCGCCTGTTTAGCATGATTTCCGAATTTGCCGACATCTTTTTCACGATTTTAACGATTTCCCGCTTTATTTTGGCTGCTTTTTTTGGCGCTTCGTAGCATGTTTGTATTTGAAGCTAGTCACTCATTGTCCCGTCGCAGGCTTTCCCTTTTTTCACAAAGTGAAGGGTAGAGGGCGGGCGGGCGGATGTCTTAGCGTGATTCTTAGGCCCCGGGCTTAGTGTGCAGCCTGTAGTACCTGTTGGCCCTTCCCCTTCCCTCCCCCGTCTCGTGCTCCCTGTCAGGCTCGCCTCCTCGTCTTCCTTTGCAGTTTAGGGTTTAGGGTTTTGGGTTTTGGGTTTTGGGTTTAGGGTTTAGGGTTTAGGGTTTAGGGTTTAGGGTTTAGGGGGCTCGTTCGTTTCAGGCGGCTTGGGTTTTGATTTCGAGCGTCCGCGCGTGCAGGAGGGTTGATTGCAGGGGTTTGTTCTATTTAGCTTGCTTCTTCCAGAACCCTTAAAGATACCCTAGGCTGCCCTGCGTTCCCGGAACTCTGCTGACAGGTTCTTCACAGCTGGCTGGCCGCACGGGCCTTGAAGGTCAAGGTTTTTTCTCCCGCACCCATGACTTGCCCGACCTCGCACAGATGGTGCTGCAGACAGCCGTGAGCTTGCTTTGAGCGCTCAGTTGCCCTACGTTGCATGTGAGGGGGGTGGGGGGATTAACTGTGAAGAGGAGATGCTGGGGGGAGGCGGGCGGGGGGGAGGTTGCAGTAAGAATGAGCCGGTGTGCCCAGGTCCATCATCGATGAGGTTGCGTGACAGAAGTGGCAGCCCCGTTGGATGAGTGTCGATTTTGTTGCAGTGCGTACCTCGCGTTGTTGCTACTTTGCAAATGTGATTGACTGTTGTGCAGTGTCACAGTTGCAGCTGGCTGTTAGATACGTCTGTGCCAAACAGCTTGTGCGTGATGCTGCTTTTGTGCCCAAACTAGTGCAGAGACGTTCCGAATATGTGCTAGGTAGTTGTTGATAGAAACATGTGTTCTACTTCTCAGCTGTTTGAGCATGTGCATTGAGACACGCTCATTTGCATGATTGACTCAAAGTCTCCGCTGGGTTGCAAAAGTCGGCATCATCGCCAGATAGTAGCGTGACCGGAGTGGATGGTGAGGAAATCCTGTACAATGCACTACAAGAGTTGGGTTTTGTCCTTGAAAGGAACCGTATACTCCGACAAGAAGACGGACAGGAAGCAGACGCGCATTCCCAGTGGTGGTGGCATCAGCAGGTTGATGCCTGGAAGTATGCCACTGCACTCCGGACTGGGCACGTCAACCGCATAAACAGAGCCTGGTCTGCATGGCAACAGAAGTATGCACCCACCTTTGCATCTTGGGAGGTCGAACAGCTAGTGCAGCTAGTGTGGCAGGCGTCATGCTGGGACTTACGGTCCCTCACTGAGATCGATTTCGTTCTCAAGGCACATACCGCTGAGGAGTGCGACTTGAGTGCAGACTTTCTCACCCCATTCAGGCTTGGCCGGGCAGGAGCTGACTGCGCGCATCTGAGCGGCCGTCGATTCCGTCAGCTCTTCAACCGCGACTTTCTGGTGGAGCCCACTTTGGCAAACGGTTCGGATGTGGACAAGTCTGGCAAGTTGTGCACCTTGAACAGATTGGCGCAGCTGCGAAGGCAAAACGAAGGCGTCGCTCTTTTCTACAATGGCAAGGAACCGGGTTCGCCGCCAGCACAAGACATTCCTGAAGGTACATTGGTGATTTACTTTGCACTGCAAGCTACATTGACGTATCCTCGCAGGCTCAAGCAACGCATGTTGGAGGACACGCAGCAAGAGTTGCGGAAGGAGAGAGAGGAGAGGAAGCGCAAGCAGGAAGAGTTGGAGAAAGCGGAGAATGAGGTGAAGCGTTTGAGGACGTTGTTGAAGCACGAAGATGCCCAGTAAGAGTTCGAGATGTTGTCACTGCCAGTTTCACTGGTCGCCAAACCAATAGACCGCCTCTCGTCTCGACGACTGCTTGAGAAAAGCTCGTCCCTTTTGTGTCAGGGTGACCACGACGAGAAGCTTTTCTGATCATCTTGATTGTGCTCCAAAACCGTTCCCGCAAACAGAATATGTCGCCCAGGCCTCTGCTCCGACTACCTCGACGTCTTCGCTGCTGGGGCCTCTGAGGCCTCAGAGAGTTGTTCAGGTTGTAGGCGGTTGGGGATATGAGGCAGTTAGGTTGTGACGCGCCTGCGCAGGGAAGTGTTGTCAACTGTGAACCCTCTCCCCCCAAAAATAGGGAAAAGGCTGGTTCTGGGGCTGGGGCTGAGGCTTGTATCAGGGCTGGTTCTGGGGGTAGCCCTATATCATTTGTGCCCCCTTATCCACTCCATCATCTGCTCACCTGCTTCGTTTCTATCATTTTCTTCACCTTATCCGTTATAACATTTCTTGCCACCTCTTTCGTTCCATTCATTTTTTTTTCATTTCCTTCATCATCATCATCGTCGCCTTCTTCGTTTCTCCTACCATGTTTCATTTAAGTAGTTTTCTTCCCTCTTTTTTCATTATCATAATTCTCCACCTCCACCATTAGTTCTTGTCTAATATCTACCATGGGCCACGGATTCCCTCCTATGTAATGACTAGTTTAAGTAAATTGAGAGCGTCTTGAGCGTCTGACCTGGCCTGGCCAAAAGGGAGAAACATTTCAATTTACTTCTACTGCCGTGTGCTACAATTTAGGGGCGGGGGGGGGGGGGGGGGGGCAGGCAGGAGTCTTGATTTTCAATGGTAGGGGTAGCACAGGCCCTAGATCCCTAAACCCTAAACCCCAAACCCTAAACCCTAAACCCTAAGCCCATCAATGAGGTCACCTTATGGTCCTTATGTACCTGTGTGCCCCCCTCCGCCCCTTCTATGGTGTGTTCCACAGACAAGCTAAGCACTTTTCTCTACAGCTACCTTCATGCACCCCCACACACACTGCCTTATTTCTTGATGATATTCAGAATTTAGATTTTAGGGTATAAGATACCTGGAGTCTCTAATGTAGTCCCGTTTTGGGTTGTAAAGGGTTCCTTGAGGTGAAGCCCCAAACACTAAACCCTAAACCCGAACCCCTAAACCCTGAACCCTGAACCCTGAACCCTAAACCCTAAACGCTAAACCCTAAACCCTAAACTGGAGGTCGAGGAGGTGCAGACCCGACGAGGCTCATGAGCGCGTGGCGGCCCTCTGAGCGCCGTCGACGCCTCCGTTGCTTCCACAGAGTCCGCAAGTCCGCTTTGGGGTTTAGGGCTTAGGGTTTAGGGTTTGAGGTTTAGGGTTTGGGGTTTGGGGTTTAGGGTTTAGGGTTTAGGGGTAGGGATACAGTCGAGAGCTCAGCTCCTGAGCCCCGACATTGCAAGGGCTGTGCCTCTAGGCAAGCAGCCTGGATCTAGGCACATGCATCACACCCTATGTACAAAGCAAGTGCAGCTCATCAACCTTCAGGGGGCATATCGTGTGGTATCCTGAACACCTTGCTCTTCCAAGCCCTAAACCCTATAATGTTGGACTGGCTTTAGTAGATGGGAGCACTATTATGCGATTTTCCGCTCGGCCTATACAGGACCCCCCCATTGTTTAGGGGGTTCACAATTTTGCGATGTTGTCCCGGCTAGGGTTGAAGGGCGGGGGGCCGGGGAGCCAAAAACTAAAAACAAGTTTTGAATAAGAAACTCCGGATTTTTTTGGTGTCCAGCCTTATTTAAATTCCTTGTAAAATTTCATTACGAAACAGGCCCCCAAACAATTTTCCAAGGGAGTAGCCCACGAGCTGCCCTGATTCGCTTTAGCAAGTTGTTTCGGTGGTCCGCATTAATGCGGAGCCCCGGCGACCGTGGAGCTACAAAGCCTGGAAAGCTTAGACCCTCAAGCTTCAAGGCTTCCCCTCAACCCTCGACCCCTAGCCGCCCTACCCCCAGCCCCCGTCCCAGGGATCCCCGAAAACCCCAAAATTGTTTGGGGGGGGGGGGCGGGGGGGGCCCTACGCACTAAAGCGAGTCCAACATTACCCTAAACTCTAAACCCTAAACCGTAAACCCTAGACCCAAAACCCTACGACGTGCGCCCTCACGATGAGCTGCAGAGCAGCCGAAGCCCGCGCCAAAGATGCTGCGGCCACTGCCCGACTGCGTCCCACAACCGCAGCGTGCTCAAACAAAGGTTAGGGTTTGGGGTTTGGGGTTTAGGGTTTGGGGTTTAGGGTTTGGGGTGTGGGGTTTACGGTTTGGGGGTTCAGGGTATGGCCAGCGCTGCCCTAGTCTCCTGCAGGGCCCATCCCGGCAGGCATGCAACTTAGTTTAAAAAGAGAACACGCTCGTCTTCGCGGCCTGGATCATGAAGTATGTAGAGTTCTGCAATAGCCATGGGACTATCCTTGCACATACAGAACCGCCCGAGTATTCAATGAAATCTCCCTTCCTCAAGGGCACCACAGCTTAGACTAGGTACACTGAATCTGGGCACCCGCCGCAGAATGCCCGACACCGTCAGCTTCGAGAGCCCGAACAAGAACAAGGGCGAGTGGTCAGCCACCGACGAGTTGGAGGACGGGGAGCCAGAGATCCCAAGTGTCCTTATCATGCTGGGTCCATGTCCTTAAGCCCTTTATAACGCCCTATCAGTAAACGCCACACATGAAGCCTAAGAACCCTAAACCCTAAACCCTAAACCCTAGACCATGAACCCTGGCTTCAGCATGCTTTTCCGAGGGCCCCTTTGTCGCGTCGAGGTTTTGATGGGTTTCTTCAGGCGCTGCCCAACCGACGGCGTGAGCTCATGATTTGGGAATGAGGGGTGATCAGTGTTAGGGTTTTGGAGTATCATACTTTAATCCGTTTGGGTTCTGGGTTCCTTGTATAGCTACTTCTACCTAAATTTCCGGGTCTACTCCAAAGTAGAGATTTTCAGAGAGGGTTAGAGGGTTGGCGGGCCAAAACAACTACTGCGGCTGCATCAGGAACTGTACGAGCACGACGTTCCTTATGTCAATCGCGCCTGGTCCTGAGCTCTTTTGGGCGGTGTAGGGTTTGTTGAAGTTTCTCAGCGGTGTTCGAGTCAGAAGGGTTCGTGGGTTTTGCGCTTCGGGTTTGGAGTTTAGGGCTCAGGCGTGTACTGGCTAGACGAGCCCGCTGCCGCAGTTTTTGTCGACCCCTTCCCCTCCCAACCCCAAACTAAATAAGCAGAACCCTCAAAGCTGAGCTTAGGGTTTAGGGTTTAGGGTTTAGGGTTTAGGGTTTAGGGTTTAGGGTTTAGGGTTTAGGGTTTAGGGTTTAGATTTCAGGGACGTCGCGTCGCTCGACCATCCAGCGTGTAGGCCTCCTGAACAGCATCGCCCAGTCCCGGCGGCCTTGTACGAACTGCCATGTGTAGGGTTCGGGGTAACCCGAAACGCGTTAATGCAAAGCTATGGCTGTGAGTTCTGGAAGCCCCGATGTTCTGTTTGTGAATCTGTCGGGAATTTCGGCAGTGGCCCCGAAAACCCCAAACCCTACACCCTTAAACGCTAAACCCAAAGCCCAAGGCCCTGAACTCTTGGACCCTACAGCCCAAAGGCCCTGAATTCCTTCTCAGACCCCAACAGGTCTGCATCGACAATAAGATCAACGTCGGCAAGTGGTATGAGGCACGCGCGGCTAACTTTCTTACCCTAAGGCTCCAAGGACTCTTATTTTAAGGTTTTTGGGCCCAATTCCTTCTTATGTAAGGGTCTTTGGGCTATTTTGAGCCTAAGGGCAAGGGTTGCTTCTTCTTCAGACAGCTTGCTGCTTGCATTCATCCTTACTCAACGCTAGCGCCAAAAGCCACACAAGCCGGAAATGCAGGTGTTTAAGTCAGCTTCCGCTGCTTATCATTGGGGTTTAGGGTTTAGGGGCTTTCTACTCACCCGATACACCTTGAATGCACGAGGAGCTTGCATGTCACAGGGAGGTGACACCAATAGAAGAACTGTCACATGGAGGTGAGCCCAAGAGAATAACTCTGTAGTTAAAGGTCGTGAAATCTAAGTTCCAGTAGTTAAGTTATGGACTCACTCAACTTATGACTGGGGTGGCGCCTGACGATGGTGTTCGGAATTTGGGGGCTGGCAGGTCTTGCGAAATCCCATGGCGACTACCGTGGAGGACCTCTCTGAGCAGTTTGGTTGTAGAGGGGTGGAGGGTATCGTGTACGTGTAGCTGGGGTTTGGGGACATGTGATTGAACATAGAAACCGACTCCTGCTGGTTCTGCTACGGGTTAGCATACTGGGCTTGCTCGGATTTTGCTTCCATAGCAACCATTCTAAACATACTACCATAAGAGGAATGTGTGGTGTGAGGCAGCGAAGCGCGCCCCTCTTCGGAGCACCGTTCCGACATGTTGCCGTGATAAAGGCAACCAAAGGTACCTTGCGGATGTTTAAGTCTACTTAAGCTAGGGTTGAGCTATGAACTTCAGATGGGTTCCTGTCTTTGTAGGAATCATAGAGCCCTGCTCCTCAAGCTTGATCAGGACTTGTATGACACGCAGAGCAAGGTCACTGAGCTGGACATGCAAACCTGGCATGGCTTGGCGCATCCGGAACGCAGGGATCCGGGCGTTTTCAGAACGACGGTGTGTATAGCGTGTCATTCGGTCGTCGGTGCATCAGTGAGTAGCTCTCCACTTGGCTAGAGTGACTGGACTGCAGCAGCCATGATTTTGCTAAGGGCTTGTGGGAATCGTCTCGTCTGCAACATGGAACTCTAGACCCGAAAACTCCAGCCACTGTGCTTCTGTCAAACTCACGCCATGTTAGAGGCAGAAGAAGCCCGGCCTCCGCATCTTTGCCTGGGATATTGAGACGACGAAGGCCAGCCGGCGGGGGACACCAGCCCATACAACCTCGCAAACATGCAAACCTCACTCATTGCTCAAGCCCCAAATCCCCCCATGCTAAACCCCTAAGATTCAGAGTTCAGAGTCTGAGCCCTAAGGCAGTTGCAAGGGTGTGTCAGTTGGGTGTTATGGTTTAAAAAGTAAAGACTTTTGTGACGTGGTTTGTCGCTTCATTGTAAGCTGCTATCGTTTGTTTGTTGTTCTTTCGTTTTGTTCTAGTACTTCTTTCTCAGTAGCTTTTTGTCCTAATAAAAGGCCATTGAGGTTTCGACTGCGCACTGGAGCCCTCACATACCTATCATCGAGGCGGTGAGTTTTGGTGTTTTGGGTTCCGGGGGGTGTGGGGTTTGCGCCTTCGGCGACCCTTAGCCTTAAAGTAGCCCAAAAAACATACCAGAAGGCCTTTGGGCCCACAAACTTTAAACTAAGAGTCCTTAGTGCCTTACCTTAAGAACGTAAAACCTACTTTTTTTGTAGGTTCTTCTAAAGGGTTTCTTAGGTAGGTTTTGGGTTCTTAGGGTCAGGATTCAGGATTGGGCTTCCCAGGAGCCGCTGAAGTTCCCCGACTCGGCCCGGGACCGCATCACCATGATCTCCATCATGGTCGCAACCCATCTGCATCAGTGTAGGGTCTAGGGTTTAGAGTCTAGAGTTTAGGTTTAGTAGGGTTTAGGGTTTAGGGCGAGGGCAGACGAGAGTTGGGATATAGGGTTGTGGTTTCACGGTCGAAGGGTTTTGGCTAGGGTTTTTGGGAGTTAGGCTTCTACAACGGCCCGCTGGTTCTTAGTAGGCACTGAGGGAATTAGGGGTCTAGATATACCTTCTAAGTGATTATCTAGGGTACCTCGTTCCCTAATTACTAAGAACCAGCCAGACGGGTCTGGGAAGGCGTGAAGCTTTGAAGTGCTTCGTTGTTTGGAGGCTCTGGTCGTCTGTGCTTTAGGCTCAGGGTTGTGGGTCATGCGAAGCCAAAGCAAAGGAGTCTCTTTGTGGTCATGTTTTTCCGTTTTTGGAATCCGTGTAAGGAGACTTTTTTGGAGTTTGAAATATGTTTATAAGGAGACGCAGGGCAACCTTATGACTCGGAGGTTTTCGATTGCCTAAGCCGTGAACCCCTAAGCTAAGGGGTGCTGAACCAACAAAGCCCCATTTCTTATTCACAGCGTTTAGGGTTTCGGGTTCAGGGCTAGAAGCTTCGCAGTTTGCTGCGGTTTACAAAGAGGAAACGTACAATATGGTATGGCTTGGGATCGTGGAACGGTGTTCAAGATACTGCAACGGGAGCGCAATGCGGGGAACTTCGCTTGGGCAGAAACCCATGCAGTGCGTCCTCGGGGGTCCGGACTACAGCAACCTTATATTCCCTGCTTGAAGGTTTATGGGTATTTCTGGGTTACACGTACGCCTCATTTGGGCTGCAGCTTACACCCCCACCCGGAAGTATCTGTGCAATGCCCTAACCCCTAGACCTCCATGAGCCTTCAAGTACCTGCCGGCACCAAGGATGGGTCTGGCTTCCTAATTGTCAACCGCGCCGAGGCTTGGGACCCTCCCACTGTAGCAGTTCGGAATTTCTGTTTGTGGGCTTAGGCGCATGGTTTTTCAACTCGGCGACCAGATGTAAGACTGCCCCTGAGAGTGAAAGTGACAGACTTTTATGTACATCACCTCTTGGCTTTCAACCGCTGTCCATATACAAGAGCCACACCCAAGTTCCCAACGCTGTTCATGGGCACTGCGGCATCGATTGAATGCTGGTTGCCCTCTTAAGGTCAGTGCATGAGTGACCAGTACTCAGTGTGTCGTTCTGCCCAAGAATTTCCCACCAGCTTCAATGTGACTGGCAGCAGCAGTAGCAGCAGCAGTGGCGGCGGCGGCAGCAGCAGAAGGTTGTTACAGGGCAGTAGCGCAATATGTGCAGCTGTTGAGGGTGGGCACGCTAATATTTTTTGCCGTCTAGTGTCCTGAAGTTGCGGCTTCGGACTGCCTGGTTACTACCTGCTCCCGAGGTGGTAACTGCTGTTTGCGCAGACGGTTGCCTGAAGCTACCCTTGCAACCCTGTACAACTCGAAGCTCCTTTGACAATTTTGACAGCCTGGCCAGAGGTGTCCGCTGATATTGAGCCACTGGAGTACACGCCCAAGCCCGAGTGCCCTGTGGCTTGGGAGGAGAACGCTGAACCCTAATTAACCCTCAAAAAACGCGAAAGCCAAACCTAAGTCCTAGACTAGAGGGTTTAGGGTTTAGGGTTCAGGGTTTACGGTTTAGGGTTTTTGAGACCCTGGCGTCCTTGGTCAGGCTTTATGCCTAGAATTTTGAGGCGAACCATGCAATCCATGGGGGTTTGCCAGTGCAAGCCCACCAGAACTGCGTCTACGTGTTTGTACTTCAGAACCTCCCAAGCAAGTTATGCTGAACCTTGCACGAAGTTGCTGAGAACGCAAGACGCTGACATTTTTTGATCCAGGTGTCATATCTCTTTCGACATATACGGGGGCCACTGCAGGGCCACCATGTCCAGTGTCAAAAACTTCAGGAAGCCTGCACGTATCCAAAGCCCTAAGCCCTAAATTTTCCTGAGCCCTACAATTCCCTGAAACCCTCAGCCCTCTGAGCCCCCAAGATCACAGCATGCCTCAACACTCCCCGTCCTCCCCACAAAGAAAAAACAGAGCAATGCTCACAATAGCAAAAGAACAATGATACCGTCATCATGATTCATACTAGTGATCAGGATAAATAGCCGGTATATAGGGACAGCCATGAGAAGAGCAGTAAGAAAGACAATGCAATCTAGATCTCTCAGCCGAAGTGTGCCTCCCCAGCTCTTCTTGTGCCCGAGCGCAGGTACGAGGGTGTCTTCCAGACCTACAATGAGGAGGATGAGGTGGCTAATGATCATGGGTTTAGGGTTTAGGGTTTAGGGTTTAGGGTTTAGGGTTTAGGGTTTAGGGTTTAGGGATCTTACACTAATCTTTGTCATAGTCGGGTAACATTTTGGATTTGTAAGGGTACTTAAACCCGATACGGAATACACATTAAACTATTAATACTATCCCAACCATGGACTAGCAATCTCTATATGCACCCGCCATGAGGGGTCGCATTTTTTGTGGGGGGCCTCTACTCTGTTTGGGGATGTCAAGGAGAGACGCCTTTGGCAGGAACTCTCGTTATGAAATCAGGTGTATTTCTTTGAGGCCTTAACCTAAGGCTTCCGCAGTGAAACAAGGAGTCCTAAACCCGAAACCCTAAACCCTAAACCCTAAACCCTAAACCCTAGGGCTCTGCTGGCAGAGGCCGGCCTCCTGCGGCGTTTCTTCGCACTGATGCGGGAGACCTGCCCTCATGTCATGGCCGGCCGGCTCAAGTTGATGTTGCAAATTGGCGTTTAGGGTTTAGGGTTTAGGGTTTAGGGTTTAGGGTTTAGGGTTGATTTCTCTGGGTCTTAGTCGTAAAGTAGGTAACCCTTAGCCTTTTTGGGGTATTCTAATCCCTAGAAAATCCCAAAGGTTATAACCTTCAACTCCCAACGGTTACTGGACAACTAGGGAGTGGGCAGTATCGGACTTTCAAGTTTATGGTATCGTTGCGTTTTGAAGTTCAAGCCCTGGCGGCTGCAGGGCTTTTTCTAGGCGTGATCCCCGATGCAGGAATTCCGTGGCCTTGCATGTAGCTACTTCCTTGGGGACGAAATGAACCTTAAAATTGGGGTCATATACCCTACACTACTATAATCCCTATTGAGGTATATGAGCCATAAACCCTTTTAGGGCTCATTTCGTCCCCAAGGTTGTCATTTGATCAACCTTTCTATACGCAATCGCACCGCATCTCGTCGAACGAGCTAGGCTGGTGAGTCAAATCGGCAGTTTGCATTCCTCGGAAGTTCCCACTTCTGAGCACGTAGTGGTCATCAGCGGCCTCAGACGACGTTAGTCGCTTCTGCCTCCCGGTAAGAGAGAGCGTCAAGTCAGGTGTCCTTCAACGGGGATTTCTTCGACTATCCGTTCGTGACCAACCGGGCAAAGGCTCCGCGGTTCGATGGAAGCACCAACTGCTCCTCACATGTCCATATCGGCACCCCGGACACGAAGAACCTGGCATGACCCCAGATCATGAGAACTGAGGCGAAGACACGTGTGCTTGAGGTGCTTCCTGGTGTTTTGTCGGATGCAAGTTTCGATGTTCGGGGTTCAGGGTGCAGTGTTTAGGGCAGTTTAGGGTTTAGGGGTTAGAGGTTATAGGGTTTAGGGTTTAGGGTTTAGGGTTTAAGGTTTAGGGTTTAGGGTTTAGGGTTCGGGGAATTCTGTGGCTT